CTTCCCTTTTACAGTCTCTTTTTCAGAATTATCCTTCAATGTATCGTGAAAACAGATGTGCATTGTTAAAGGTTGATGAAAAATGTGTCTTTGTAACATACCATAGTCTCGTGTATCATAGTAATTTGTGAGGCGCCAGGGTATCTGTCGTGCTATATCTATTGGGACACATTACTATAGCGTTGATGGACGTGCAATTTAATCATACCCGGAACCTATCAACTAATCAGGGAACATTCTGTGTAACGGGAAGTATAGTTATAAGTTAATTTGGTTCCATTGGCCTTCTTTTGACTCAGGCGAAGTCTCATTCCTATATAAACAGGTTCTTTTGATAATTGTAATTTCCAAGAATTATATTGACTTCAATTCTTTTTCGTTTCACTTTTTTCATTTTAAAATAGGGTTAACATTTTTTTGTTGCTGTCCCCCACCCCCGTGCACCACTGGGCCCCAACACCTCCACCGTGGTGTCAATAGTTTGGCTGCAGGACATCCAAGAACGTTTAAAATATTCTTATCTTGTTCCCAGACATATTTTCATAAAACTGACTTGTTCTGAAATCTGGAGTGCTGAATAGTAACAATTAGCAACCGATGAAAAAGCATACGGGTTTCTGATGAAAATAATCATCAAATTAGGTTTTTACCCTTCACAGACGTTTAAACACTGTATACTCAGTGTGTTACCTCCCGAGTGAAAGTTGGAAAAAATCACTCGGGTGGGACTCGAACCCACGATCTCCTGCTTTCTAGTGCAGATGTTTTAATCGGCTCTGGTTATGCCGCGGTGCCTTATAGTAGAACTGGCTCATGTTCCAATTAAGGGTGTATAAGTAAAACCTTTTTGGTATGATATATTGGGGGAAAGAGGTATGGGAGATGTAAATTTAAAACTGGGCTGTGCCCGATGCAATTATCCAAATATGTTCATAAATACACTTATTATATTTTTTTTCCAAGTAATACTTAAATCTTAATCTCATCCAGCAAAAGTAGTCTAAATTAGGACAAATATATCCAACGTTTTTATAACACAATAGAAAATAGATTTTTATGAAATGATCAATTGACAAACATGTACTTGGCGACTTTTAATATCGTTTTGGAGTCTTGAAGGCTAAATTATCACTGAAACTCGGACGATATTTTACGAACGATAAATTTTAATGGCTCTTCTGTGATCCCATCCAAACTGGCCACGGCCAGGTCAAGTAGCATCATCCGAACCAGAACAGTATTTTAGAGTTTTGATTGCTGTCTCAGGGACAAAATACGCTTTGCCATGTAATATTTGCTGGTCCCGAGACGGTTATGCTATATCAGGCTGGCTGGCTGGCTGGCTGACCGACCGACCGACCGGCCGGCCGACCGATTGACTGATTGATTCACTGATTGTCATCATGACCAGCTTGGGACTTGTTTTTCAGCTCTGGCAGGAGCTTCTACCTGTTACTTGGTGATCGGTCGGTCTGTTCCTGAAAAAGTGGCCAAAATATGGCCCCTTACGTTTCCCACAAATTACTAAATTTAAATTTTTAAAACAAGCAAACAAAATAAATTGAATACTTAACAAAAACTGTTTGTAACGATTGGGAAAGATGTTTATGAACATTTTGTAAATGGAGGCAAAATATATGCAGTAATGTTATATAGTCACGTGTTTTTTGTCATGAATCGCTATAAATCTAGGTATACATAATGGTGTTCCATATGTGCCATCGGCGGCGCATTTTTGGGCGTCACATATTTTCAGCTCAGGCAGGGATCATTTTGATAGATTTCATGCAAGACTTTCATGCAAGACGGCCATAGCTTATTGTGCACTCGCACTTGTTTTGGTATAACCTAATACCGGCACGCTATCCATTCTATCACGAAGGCCCCTTCAACGCGAAAGCATTGTGCTAGCTACTATTTAAATAATCAGTCTTGGAGAGTGGACTTAAATCCGTAAACTTACATGCGTTGAAGATAGGCATACATGTGCAAAAAGCGGTGGGGGGGGGGGGGGGAAGGCTGGACACCCGTTGACACTAGGTGGCGTTGTTCATAATAACTGTCAGATACGCATTGGGTTGACGGACTGTGTAGATAACTTACAGTAGACACCACAGATAATGTCCCCGTTTAAAAAAAAAATCGGGAAAAAACAACACCCACAGGTTATCAAGACATACATCAAATTAAAGCTTTTTCACCCTTGTTCAGTTAACATGACTTTTGGGTGCATTTTCCCTGAAAAAAAGTGTTCTTGAAGCCCATCACGATTTTGAACGATTACCCCCTCCACGCCATTGAAAAAAGAGCGGTTGGAAGATCCAATTTTATCACGAATTGTACAACTTTAAATTTCATATTTAATGTTTAAATTGCTACAACAATTTCTTGGTGCTCAGAACAAAATTGGGGGGGGGGGGGTATTCCAACTGCCCATCCCCCCGTCCAAAATGTGTGCATGTATGTGTAACATCCTTGAGTATAATCGAGGACTGGAGTCAAATCGAGGACGTCCTCGATTAGAAAACATGCACAAAACCAATGATTTTTTTTTTAAGTTTGAACAAAAATCAATGCAGAGGAACGATAGAAAATGCCCGATTTACACCATAAACAAACCTGAGTTCGTTTCCGCATTCAATGGGGGACGTTGAACAGTAGAGGAAAATTGGGTTCCCAATTCCGAAAGTCCCCAATTTGGCGATCGTGTACAAAACATACGGGTGGTCTTCCCAAAAAAGTTATAATCACGCACCAAAAGTGGGGCATGCACGATTAAGCATACACCATGTTTGGGTCAATTCACAGGAAACAAACGATAAAAAAAAATTCAGTCCAACATTCGAGACTGAGATCGATAAATATCATTCTGTCTTATGGTTTTAACCTATCCCTGCAGAGTACAGGAATTTGAAGAGATTACCCACATAGACCAGATTATGACCCTATATAAATATGTGGGAGGTTACAGGCTATTCAGTCAGTTTCTATAGTCAGATGGGTGTCTAAAGATGATCCTAAAATATTTTTATTTGAATATCTAAAAAGCTTGAAATATATAACAATTATACAAATGATGAATGTTTATAAGTGCAATGGTAAGAATAATTTCATGTGTTGACAGATGGAAAGTTTTCATTCCACGAGGCGAAGCTGAGTGGAATGGAGCATTCGATCTTTCACCGAATGAAATTATTCTTTCCATTGCACGACTGTGAAACATTCATTATTTGTTTTATACAACGCCCGAAAAAATCCTCATCACCTTAAGTTGGTAGGTTGTTATACATGTTAACTTGTACTATGGATGTACAGCATCAGAGTCACCATATCTGTGAATGGAGATTCTGCTTTTTTTTTCAGTGCGGACGCGCCTTGCATTTGGAAGAATAATTCAATGACACTAATCATATGACGGGGATGTATCCAGGCGCTGCATAAAATACTATAGGCATTATTATGAGACTTAATATGTCGATAACATTGAAACACTTCAAGGCATTTGCTGTCCATAGTGCAGCAACATATATCCACTTTATTGTACTAAAATATCATTAAACATTACCTTTTTAATAATAGTTTTGTGGGAAGATTGTGGCTAAATGTATACAATTTACTTTAGAGTGATATAAACAGAAGAATGTTTCCATCGAAACCGTGAACAACCATTTACATTTTTAAAAGACAATTATACACGGTAGCCCAATTACAAATTCCACCTTTAGTAAAAGCATATGTACCAAGCCAAATGAAGTGAGAACAGTTGTATTTACAGTTATATTCACATGATGTACATTTTAAGGAGGTAAACTTTGCACAGAAATAAACCTGCGTCAAACATATTGCAGTAAGGGGTGGCACAAGGACAACAATGAATACTTGGCACGGATGTTACAGTGAAAAGTGCAACGTTTAGGTGCGAGAAGCCACATATGACATTTCACGGGAATAATATTCATTTCAATAATAGTCATTTCAATCTCAATCCCACATTCCAAAAATACATATAAACTAAAGGAACATCCTTGCTAAAGCCTTTCCCCCTTTTCACTGTGTATTGTCACTGACCTTAACACGCATGCGTAAAACATATCACGTGATTAAATTAATATTTATACCATGTTATAAGCATAGGTGATGTGATAAGGTTTGTATTCAAGTTAAAAAAAAATAGCTACGAGGTGGATTATCAGGTTGAACGATGAGCAAATCTTCCCCATGATCAACTCTTTTCTTTTTAGGCAATCAGCCTGGGGGTTTGGTCGGTATCAAATGAGGGGGAATAATGCTCATCGTGATTTTTGGCAAGGTATGCACCCCTGTAGTTGGAAAATATCGGATAGCATTGCAGCGGTGGCAGCTTTTTAGGTTCTATCACTTTAAAAAAATGGCGGCCAAAACATATAATTCATCCGGTTCAAGCATATTGGCGGCCATTTGGGAAAAAAAATTGCAAAGTGATGACACCCAAAAAATTGCCACCGCTCACACTACAAAGCTATCACACATTTTCCAATTCTAGATGTGTATATCTTGCCAAAAATCGCTAAGAGCATTGCCCTTTTCGATCATTTGATACCGGTGGCCCAATTTTTGGACCGAAGCTGATAGCCAATTTAACGTTCGTCCTCGAAACATGAAGCTTTAAGTTTTTATTGTTTTATAAAATCAAATCGTACTTTTCATTGAAGACAATTTTTATCATTTGAAGCATTCTGTTGACAACTGATTGACATGGTTGCCGACAAAAAAACCCGGGTTTTTTCTTCTTCTTGGGTGCTACAGAGTCAGTTGAGTTGACATGTATCTCTCACTTACGTTGTATGGTGGGAACATGAGCGTTGCCCGTTTTTTTTCCGGGAAGTTTCTATAAAAATAACATTCAAATAACAGAACAATATTACTTGACCCTATTCTGACCCTTAACTTGACCCTATTCTGTTCGGGTTTGTTTTGCTCCTCGGGGGAGGGGGGAGAGAGGGGAGGGGGGAAGCTTTCCCTATCCTCGCGGTGCCCGTGGGTGGGGAATATTCGTTTTCATAACATAATTGCTACTTCAAAGAACGACCGCATGAAATCACACCGAACCACACAGTGTGCATTAGCAGCGACAGTTGTTTTCATCAAGTACATCTATCTAATGATGTGGCGGGCGCAACGTTGGAACGTATACGAGAGGTTAATACAGCCATAGCTTTGTTTGGCACCAATTTTTGACACATCTGTGACATTCAGCTTAAATATTTACTCCCGCCTTCAGTGTTTACCTCCGGGTAATGTTTCAAAGGGAATATTTGATTTGTGTTACCTCAACCAGTACATTTGATCAAAGGAATTGGGATATAGCTGGCCGTGTTAGGGAACTTAAGCATGCATGATGATCACTCCTGCGAAATTATCAGAGGAGTCAACATTCACGGTATAAAATGTTAAGCAACATAAAAACATACTGAAAGTGATTATACTGAATTTCCAGTAAGCCTAACATTTCTGCAAAATATAAAACTTAAAACAAACACCATTTTTTTTTAGGGGGGGGGGAAACAAAAGTTTTCTGCCATTAAACAAAACGAATCCAAAATTTAAAGGACACAAGAGGTACAGGTGAAACAAACCCTACCAGACAGCCTCTCGTCCGAGTTCCCCAAAAATAACCTCAAGTTAAAATTATTTAAAATTAACATTTAACCGATCGATAAACTTATTTTATTTTCAGTAAAAACTTTTTCCCCAAAATAATAATGTTGGCTTAGTGTCCAAGCAATATCACTACAATTTCATTTCAGTTACTAATGGAAATATTGAAATTTCCCAGACATTTTAACTAGATTTTCACAGCTCATTTACAAAAAACCGTGTTACACACCGCCCTTTCCTATATACAGTTTAGATCGCAACGGATCTGGTTCTGTTCTCTTCTTATATTACAGCAGATGATCCAAGCGCGTCGTGGGTATTAATTAACCATAAGCTTCGATCGACAGTTTCTGTGAAGACAAGTCAATTCCTCCCCGATCATCATACAATCCTTATTTTGCGGGTGTGCAAACTGTAATTAAATCATCCTCGCACATTTCCTTACCTCAGAGAGGTTTTGGAGCAAGGCGTGAAAGCTTTGTCCCCTTGGGTTACAAGCAGCGCAGTTTCGTAGCGGGATTTAAGCCAGTAACATTCAAGAACATGAATAAATTACTCCCTAACTATTAGGTCACTGTTAAAAGTGATGAACGAGAAATGTAACGGTGACTAAAGATGTTCATTAACATGGACAGTAACAATCAAAGGTTAAATTTACCCTTTTAATTTTATTTTGAAAATACCTCGCTTCAATGTGATTCTGTTTCAAGAGCCTGAAAAGTGTAATGGCGACCCGTTCCGGTTCTGAGCAATCTAAATAATTATTTAAAATAACTTAAGTCTGTATAATGGAACATTTCGAGATGCCCAAGTGGTTGATTGCCCCATGACACTCGTATATTAAGTTGTCGTTGTGATCATCTGCTGCTTTTCCGGCGGGGTCGGTTGCGTCCTCCCCCACTTAGTGTCCTTGTTGTTGTTTCTGTTTCCCATCTTAGTGGTGTTGTTGGCGCTCTTAGATGACTGCCAGCGGACGGAGTACATGGTGGTCTTGTTGTTGGACCGACCATCCGAGTGACTGGTATCCATGGACTTGACGGACGGGCGCAGCCCCAGGCAGGCGCAGATCTTGTTGCAGTAGCGCACGTTGCAGGCCCCGTAGATGATCGGGTTGAAGCAGGAGTTGGAGAGAGCGAACAGGAACGACACCTCGAAGACGTAAGGGTGGAGACTGTCAGGAGAGAACCAGAGATACCACATGCTGAAGAAGGCGTACGGGAACCAGTTGATGGCGAAGACGGTAAAGATGGCGACGGCCATGCGCACGGTGCGCCGCTGAGCTCGCAGGAATAGCTTGGATCGCGCTTGCCGCATCTCGGAAAGGTTCTCGCTGGTTTCTGCGAAGGAAAATTATAATGGCATGATCATTTATAAATTCCCTAAAATGGGCATGTCATTCGGAAATGGCTATAGTATTGAGACGGTTCAGATAAGTTAGCTTAAGTTCACGTACGCATATTTATGCACATCTTTCCAAAGCGATGTGAATGAGTAATGCCTAAAAGTCTATCGTATACAAGAAGGGCACTTAAGCGTGCACAACAGTTCTCAAATTGTATTATTTATAACTTTAATCACAAAATAAAATCATAGGTTTTTGCGAAGTAAAAGCAAAGGCGTGATATAAAAATTCCGGAAAAAAATTGTTTCACTGCGTCTGCATTGGCAGCTTTTGGCCAAACAAAATTGCGTCTCGTTATGAGAAGATTCAGGTCTTCAATTTCACTTTTTCCCAACAATATGAAGTTCATGTATATGCGTAATCGTCCATTAACTGAAATATCTTCATATCAAAACTGTATTCATATATACTTTTGCATTTTTTTCCAAACTTGAGTTAGTACGTAGAGAATGTTTATAGAGTGTACGTGTCAAAAACAGTACTATGTTGTTGGGTGGCAGGCTAATATACGTGTTTATCAGTGTTCACAGCATATAGAACTAACATAAAATCTCCTTCTCTTTCATGCATTTCGTGTACTGTCTGACGGCTATATTTTCCGTACTCATGCACTGAGCAGTCATGCAATCCAGGGGAATATAGATGTACATTTGGGAGGAATTTAAAAGTCCGCCAGGGAACACTTATTGTATTTATAGATCCCACGACTTTCTCTCCATAAAGTCTCACGTGTCAAGATTTGCGGGTGAAAAGAAATTGCACATGCAACGTGTTGTATGTACAACATAAACTTTATACAGGCGGAGTTTCAACCCAGACAAAGTTGGGTATTTTTTTTTCGAAACTAAGGCTATGTCTGCAATTTGGCTTCCTCATCTTGTTTACATTTTCTTGAGGCTTTTATTGCCTATTTAATGTCCAGAAAATGCTCTGGCTTTTTATCTCATAGGATTTTATGCTACGGATATGAAGCGAAAACAAACAGATTATTTAGATGGAGTGCCATCGGGGTCTCCTGTAAAGCAGATACCAGGGATGAAGCCTAGGTTTGGGAAAACGGACGTCAGTCGGGGAGTCAGCCAGTCAGTCAGTCAGAGGAAGATACGCTTGCCCTTTGGGTCCAGCAAACAGAGGATTTTGTTAAGGATTTCCCACCTTTCATGACAATCTTCTGGCGCACTTTATGGAAGATGAGACCATAGGCCACAAACATGATGAGCAGCGGAAAGGTGAACTGGGCCATGATGACTAGCGTGGTGTAGATAGCGCTGTAGACCCGAGGGAAGGCTGACGACGACACGCATTGCCAGTAGTCTACGTCCGGGTCGTAAGGCCAGTGCTCCAGCCGAAAGATTATCAGCTGTGGAAGAGAATTCCAAAGTTAAGTTGAAACTGTGTGAGCTTTCTCAAAATGATAAGACGCCATTAAATGTATGCCACTTTGGGAAATTGTTGTGGCCTCGTGGGATCAAATTCAAGATATGTGGGTGTAGCTTTGCAGGTTGTGGGGTTCCAGCCCAGCCTGTGGTTTTGCGGTGTATGTGTGCCCTTGGTTATAGGATACTTCGTCATAATTGCATTTTCACATCCATTGGTACAATGGGTAGTTTTGAGGGCAGAAAATTGGGCTTCAATGGTTAGTTTGCGCCTAGAAAATTGCCGTGACGAGCTGTACACTCCCAGGGAGCTGACATGGTTAATGGAATGTGACATGTACCCAATGATCAAGGGTCATAATAACGTAAAGCGCTTTTGGTATTCAAGTTGTTTAAAGTGCTGTTTAAAGATCTTATTTTTTACTACTAAATTTAAAAGTATTGCTGAATTTAATAATAAATAAAAAAAAAAAAAGTTTAAGTGCTGTAGGAATTCTTCGTGCACAACATCATTTTCCTAATAAAGGCAAAATTCCCCGAAATTGTCCCTCGTAGTTCTGATTCTTATAGGCTTCACACTTGGGAAGATACATTTTAGTGAAGATGCGCTTAGTTTCTAAGAAGTGAGAGTAAAAACTAATAAAATGGAAAAGACTTGCGGGACATGATTGGAAGAGTGAGGTTTGCGGTAACACCATAATCTCTTTTGAGAAGTGTGGTTCTGAAAAGAACGGCTAGTTGTGAAACTCGACGTTCTGATCAGTGTGCTCTGATCGTCTTCAGAAGAGACTAGAAGACAAATGATGACTTTCGAAAAAACAAAGTACCGCTGAATGTTTTATTTGGATAACATACCATGTTACTGTACATATCCGACAGCTGAGATGGTTTGCAATAAAACACGACTTAACGCACTAAAAACAATGCCTATTAGGTTACTGAAACAATCTGTTCGAGTGCAAACCCAAGGGGTCTGTATAATGAAACCGGCTATAGTTGCCCATGTTCCATGGTTGATCAGGTCTTATATATCCGATATCCGCTGGGTAATCCACACACGGATCATTAATGACACTTATGATTCAAGCCTGGAGACAAATACATGGGCAGAGCCTCTTCAAGACGATTGGCCTGTTACTTTTCTGACAGAATTGGATTAAGATATTTTGCTGGTTCATTCACCTTATGGGCGCTCGAGTAATATGACAACAGACTTGGGACTGGAAGGTAAGATAAACGATTATCCTGTTCATGTTGTTTACCTCGGCATTCATAGGCTATCCCAACATTTAAAAAAGTCTGATTGATTTTGTTTGACAAAAATGCCTCATTTTTTCAAAGCCACCTCTAAACAGTGGCTCTTCTAAATATTGAAGACTCGTTTGACAAGCAATGACCTATAGGGCCTAGTTAGTGAGAGCTGCATGACTGATTTATTTTTGTCAATGATTTATACAATTTTGTACCTGAGGGTGCTCCGTTCATGTTAACATATTCACCTTTCCTTATTTATTCCCTGTCAATATCATCTGTATTACAGGGTTGTCGAATTTAGGGTTTGCTGTTTCTATTTAGTTGAAAAAAATAAATAAACCCGACCCTACCACAAATCGACAGTTTGCACGGCCATGCACACACACGTACGTAGTGTGGCTTTTCCTTTGTTTCGTGTAGTTAAGAAAAAAAACTGTGAAAAAAACCTAATTTTTCTTAACCCAATTCTTTTTCTATGATTCCCTTTAGTGTTTTTCTTCATTTTGCCACAGTTAAACGTAACCCCAAAATGCCTCTTTTGCAAAGAGGGGAAAACATTGTGTGGACGTGGGCAAGCCTCTTATCAACGTGGACCTCTTTTGTTCGGAAGTCCACTTTCCACACAGTGAATGTAATGCTTGTACATTAAAGAAAGTGTGCCTTACATTTTAGAGGCAACCTTTTTTCACACTATTGTCTCCCTTATGTCCACGTTGAAAGCAAAACGGGTTCACCGGGTAAACCGCGTCTCATCGAACACGGGTGCGTAAGCAAGGCGTACCTATCCCACTTACAGTGTTCTACCCGGGTATAACCTATCAACCCTAGTCCCGTTACCCGTGGAAGTGTAAGCGCCGTACCCATGAAGTAGAAGCCGTGTTGGATTCTTGCTATAGTTTGAAAGGGTTTCCTGAAACCTCCGTGTGGAGTGTGAAAGGCTCTCAAGGCAGAAAACGAACCTATGATCACTGAATAATACAAACGTGCTTTGCCTCCTAAGCGGTAAACTACGCTACCATACAAAGTATCACATCATATTCTAAAGCAATAATAAAACTAAGGTAGGAAAATCAAATGTATGGGACTTCAACATTTCTCCGAAGCGCGAGAAATGTGAATTGACACAATAGGATGAGGAAGCTTTATTGAGCCTGTCGTATCTGGGACAACATGATGAGAATATATACGTCGCAAGAAAGCAGTCCGAAATATACTTGTTCACTCTTCGAGTTACTTGTTGAATTCAATGCGCTTCGCAGAGTCGTCTTACAGTACCCCGAGCATTGTAAGAACCCAACACCACAAGTTGACAACACATCTTCCCTAGCTTTAAGCCTGATAAATCACGGCCATTAACCGTTACTTTCCGGTCCGCGTGGGTGGGAGGGGAAGTGGGCCATCCACCGTACATTACTCCCGTGCCATAACCACTCAATTTATCCAATCCCTCTACGCGAAAACACCTCGGCCATTGTACCAGAGGTAAGACCCCGTCGTATTATGATCTCAATGTGAATCTCAAGTACATTGAGCACATCCTGCTTGTGCTTGGAGGTAGGTTGAAGTGTTGCCACGGTAACGGCAAAAAGAAAATATGAGCTGCCAAAGTTTCTGTTTAAAGGCTACGCGGCGCCATGAAGGGCCGGAGAAGGCATTTGTGACACAGTGGATCAAAATTACCAAGTAACCCCATTCGTACTCCATTTTTCAAAGCGTATTTTTGAAAGTATAAAATGTTCTGTTCACGTTTCACAATTTACATCTTGAGCATAGCTTAAAATTAAGTATGTTTTAACATAACGTACACTGTTTTATGAAGAAAAAGATAACATTTTCTTTCCATATCAATGTACATGAACACGTTTAACTGCTTAAACCTAAGGAGATTTGTCACATTCCAAAATTAGTGAGATAAAAGTAAATTAAAAAACAAAAAAAACAAAAACAAAAAACCTGTTCAGCGATAGTGTTGTGGAGAATCTAATGAAACTCTATCAAGTGAACCAAAACAAAAATAACATTCGCCAATCATTTTTTCTTTGATTTCAAAGAAGCTGCATATGTTTTTTTCCTGACCTAGGTCCAATCCTTTATTTTAGACCTGCCCACCATGTTGACGGTGATTGCTTTCTGTTCTACGATGACAAAGACTCGCATTTCTGTTCTTTAGATACAGTTTACAATCTTAAGTGCTGTACACCCGACCCTTGGCCAACGCACGTCCGACTCCATTTGGCTGTTTGACGTTGGTGGAAAGATTCAGTAAAGATTCATCGTGGTTGAATAGAGCATAAGTGGCGTTTGTTATCTACAGCCCATCTGCTTTATTGAAACGCGGACATTGACCGAAGTATTATGGTGTTTCAAGACGCCATGTAGCTTCGGCTTATTTATGACGTCAGACATTTGCATTGGTCAATGCACTTCTCATATTTTGAAGATGAAAACACGATTCCAAGTTATTTTTAATCTGCTAAAAGGCATTTGATTATTTTAAGCCAGTTAGTCCCGTCACGAAAGTTCACGTATTTTTATGTGAAAATTCAATGTCTTTTATTTACAACACGTACTGACTAGTTTAATCACGGAATCCCATAATTGCATTCACTCTTTCGTTTTGCAACAGTGATTGAACGGAAGGTGAGGTCATTTTGTTATTTTGAAATTTCCACGGCAACAGAGCCCATTTATTGCTTTTGACTTGATACGCCCAGTCAGAAAAAAACAATTGAAAAAAAGAAGAAGAAGAAGAAGTAGTACATTTAGAGGTTGACGCTTCTAAACGATATGCCCGGAAGTAGGCATTCCCGCAAAATGTTACCGGTTATTGAGGTCAACTTGCCCACTCTCTCGGCAGTAATAACATATTTCCCTCTTTTTTTTTTGGTAAGTACCCTTTTGTTGAAAAGAATATGAATGTGATGCCCCACTTTGCGCTTGCAGCGCGTTCTTAGCCTACTCCCGTTGGGAAACGCGAATCCATTACCCTTTTTTTGGCCAAACGCTCTTTTTTTTAAGTAAAAGACTTTTCCGATGAGAAGTGCCTAAAACCACGGGCCCTGGAGTGCAATGCAAAGACTAGCGCTCGCTAAAAGGGTAGCAGGGTTGCTATAGGGGATTGCCAACCCTTTTCAAATATTTCAACATTTACTAAGAGTTCTGTCAACAATGTCACTATAAGTAACGATCCTCCAGGCAGGGATTGGATTTCGCGTTTGTGAGTTTAAGGATATCTTATAGAAAAAAAGGAATTGATTTTCTGTACGACCTACGCATTTTCTCGCAGTAATGTTAGAAACTAGTTTTTAAAAAAAGAGATAACAGTTATTGGGTTGGGATACTCTGTGCCTTTGTGGACCTGTAAAACAGTTTTTTAAAGAAAGTATAAACACAGGCAAGGGTATTGAATATTTACTTTATAAAAAAATGCAAGCACGCGACGGAACAAGGAGCTTGACTACTGAAAACACACCAAACACTAACCGACAGGCAGGCCGTTACCCAACAGCAGGCACGTTTATATTGTCTGTGCTGTTCTTCGGATCATTAAACAATGTTGCAAGGAAAATGTATTGCAATTTTAATGCACATAACCAGGCAATCATTAATGGTACCGCTGTTTCATTTTTGAATCTCCTTTGCTGGTTATGCATTGCAATGGAGACACGTAAAAACACGCTAGAAACAAGCTACCATAAATATAGTAGCCGCTTTTCAATAATTGCTAGAA